AAAACCGCGTTTTTTAAATAGAAGCTATGAATGTTTCATTAAACGTTCAGTGTTTGATATAACGATTCTTGTGAAAAATTCTTACGACCGAATATAACGAAACGGATACTGTATTTTCCTGTAAGAAGAATCTTCCAATTGTCTGGCGAATTTCCGATTTGCACGCGCGATGGGAGTTAAACCGGTCGGACGGTAGTCAGCCGTTGCGTTGTCTCCGCGGAAACGAAACAATTACAACTATGCCCGAACAATTTATAATTCCGCAACGCGCAGCCCTTCCGTCCGCCTCTTTCTCCGCCGCAGTTAAGCGTTATTACTTGAGCCGTTGCAGATAATTTCCCCCGTTTGTTCGCCGGGGCATTTAACGCCCTGCCACCTGTGCTGGGGTCGCTTGACGAGTTCTCGCCAGCGCCGGGAATTAATATAATTCGCCTTTAAATCCTGGCAACAAGATCCGTAGGAGTTCGGACAGAATACGAGGGGATTGTAAAATTTGGTTGATAGACTTCACAGGGAAATTAAAACCGAGTTCGCAGTTACTGTATCGTGTTGAAAACTGTTCACTTGTTCAACAGCGAATTTTTTAATTTCAGATTTTATTTACTCGCGAATATTTTTTCCTACTGCAGAAAATTGCAGCTGCAATTTTCGCGTTGCGTTTAATAATGGCAATTACGCTTGAAAATAGCATATAATTGTGAAATTCCTGATAATTTCGTCTCTTCATCTCGAGTTATATTGTCAAATGCTCAAACATTTAATCGAGGGAAAGTAATAAAAATTATCAACGTGATGCTGTGATTTCTACTATTAGATTGATTAAGCTGCCTGGAAGAACATTGTTTATACTTGATAGCTTCGACCAATCAGGATTTCTTCCAGATCAGTTGCCCGGAACAACGGTACCTTTCGCCTGGTCAGCGGTGTTTGTGCACGCTTTTAGCAAATTACAGCTGGTAAAATGTAAACCTTTCATCAACTGTCGGGGTCAAACTGAAATTTTTTTGAAACACACAGATTTTCTAGTATTTTTTTACTTAACCTGCTTTAATACAAAATAAATTTATGTATCTGGTAATAAAATTTATAAATGATAACATTTACTTAAAACTCTCAAATATAAATCAAGTTACTATCGTATTTGTTGCTTCTATCATAGTTTCACTTCTCCGACAGAATTTCTTCGTCCAGCAACGTTTCCACGATAAAATTCCCGGATGCTTCCGCTCATTTTCTCCCTCAACTTTGATCGTTTAATTTTGTTTGTCTTTGCCTCGGACGTAATCGTTTTGAAGTTTCGGAGGAAGATTCCCCTTCGGAACTTCGTAGCAAGCCGAAGCGGATTAAGAAAGAAAGCGGAGGAGACGTCTTATCGATAAGTATTAAGCAGTTATCGCGTGCAGATCCAACTTTTCTTAACTCGTCACTGCTTCCCTATCTCCCTCAAATTATTTTATCATTGCCCAGCACGTCTTCATTTACTTCTCGATTTCACTTGCCAAATTCTAATTCTAATTTTAATTTAACGTTTCTTTCCTAAATTGTCAATCTTTCAAATTAATTCCCTGCATTAAATGAATTCTTTAATTATTCAATGTGAAGATACTTTTTTTTTTAAATATAATAAAGTTTGATATAAGAAATTTATCTTGAAATACACAATTTCTTGTAAGGCCTTGTTTTATGTTTCTATAACAATTAAGATTGAATCACTGCGTTACAATGTAATAAGTAACCGAGGAGGGGGCACGTGGCGTTCCTTGGTTCTGGAGTAATAAAACTAAGGACACGCCGGGTCGCGACAATGGCCAAATTGCGGTGAACGGGGCAACAAATAAATTCTTTTGCTGGGCGACACGGTTCCTAGTCGCGATATATCGGCACCGAACAGAAAGCGATTGCTTCGTGTTTCGTATTATTGAGGTCGAGAAAATCGAGCTCGTATTGCTTTCCACCACCAGCTGCTCTCCGCACACACATACACATACACACAGACACGCTTTTTCCCTTTTGAGCCTCTCGCCTTTGATGTTCGCGAGGAAGAACTTTTTCGGCACGGCAGAGCGTAAGGGCGTTTCGTGATATTGTATCGCCTATCGATTTCGCCAATAAAACGTCACACCCCGGGCCCGAACGAGAATAAAATCTCTCAGACTGATTGCTTAATCATTTTAAGAAAAATCCAAAATAAAAACGAATGAAATTAAGAATTCTTATGTGTAGCCATTAAAGATTGTTGTACTTAACTAATGAGATGAGAATACGATTATAATTTATATAAGTAAGGAACTACAGTAGTTCGTGTTTTGGAGTACGGAATCAATGAAGTGACCAACCGTTAACACGTTAAGATGATTCCCCGAGAAGATATGAATCACAATTTACGGTGCAGAATAAGGGTTATCGATCAAACGGAGAATCCGCGAGGATTCCGAAGAAATTCCTGATCCAGATTCCACTCTGAGAGAACCCTCGAAAATCGAGCGAGAAAACGGGAGAGAGGGGGGCGAGATCGAGGTCCAGTAGTAAAGCTCGATATAAATCAGACCGATCCTTCCGCCGTGGAGTTTCCAGCCGCTCTCGACTCTATCCTCGTCTCTGCCTCGGCCATGGCTATCTCTGGTGTCCATCTTTTTCTTGCTACCAGACCTGTTCCCCGACACGTAATTACGAGCCATCTCTCGGCGAGGAACTCCCGGCTTCCGGCCGCTTTTACCCGGAGCGTGATTACCCCGACGATCCACGAGGAAAGGAACGCACGAAATGAAAACCGGGCCATCGGATTCGCGTCTTTGTAACCAATCCGGACGACTTTGTCCCGAAGGGTCCGATACGTTAACTACCGGGATTAATCGCTGTTTTGCTCTTAATCGACCCGCAGGTTTGCATTTAAATTAAACGTCAATGGGCTTGATCTCGGTGCATCTGACAGGATAAGCTCTTATTAAACTTTGGACTTTTAATACTTTCGTGATGTCAGTCTAAAAAATGAAATCTACTTATAAAAAATAATTAATACATATTATATTGTATATTTTTTGGAAATTCTGTTTTATGATATGAATAAAATCTGCAATCTACCTATTCGAATTGAAAAGATATATCCTACACGTTATAGCTGTTCGTCAACGTGGGGATTAAAAGTTTTATGGATCTGAACAGGAACGAAATTCCTATTATGTTAATGTTGAAACGAAGTAAAACCGCCCGCCGAGATAATAAGCATTAACAGACCGCATCGGGAAATATTTTCACCGCGTTCCGCGAGTGCTTTTACAATTGGATTCAAATTTCGTTTCAGGTGGAGGAAAAACAACGCCGGTTTTCAACGAAATTTATAAATCTGCGTGTTTCTATACGTAAAAAACAGGCGCGTATACACGTCGGGTATGGAATTGGCGAGCTTTCCACGAATTCTCAACGCGGTTTTCCGCGAAATCCCGACCGGTGGGCGCGGTTTGAAAAATAAGGGAGAGCCTCGCGTCGCCTCGAGTCCGGCCCGCAAAATGTATTCCACAACGCGGCGGCGTGGCGTGTTCTGCATGACTTCATCATTGCGTGTCGCCGGATCGTTCGGCGCAACGAGGAAAAATTGTTTCCTGTTTCCACCGAATGCTATCGCGCGATCTTTGATATCTCTCTCGCCATAAATGCCGGGTTTATCTATCTATTGTTGGCAGCCGGGCTGTCGGAGCCAGCGGAAAATAAGGGTGGAGACGGGAAACAAGCGCCGAGAGTGGCCCACACAATCTGTGCAACGCGTAAAGTACGTTTCAGGCTTAATGCGAGCCGAGCTTTTCCAAAGAGGGAGGTGAGAACTAACCGGACACCATAAAGTCTGGTAAAAAGCCTGGGTCGCTTCTAATCAGCGATGATCCGGCAAAAAATCATCGGGACGGGGAAGAGCAGCGAAGATGGGGAGAGAACGCAGTGATTAACACGGCGGACGCTTTCAGAGTTAACCAGCGTGACCGAGGAGAAATGATAAAAACGAGCGGAGAGAGAGAGAGAGAGAGAGAGAGAAAAGAGAGAGGGTGGAAAACGAGGGTGACGATTTTTGAAAGCTGACGAGCGTTTGCTCGCTGGTCACGTATCGAGACCATCCCTCTTTCCCTCGCGCCGGGAGACTACCCTCGGCCCGGTCGGTGTATCAACCGCGCTTTCTACCCGCTGAAAAGCTAACAATATGATCCACCGGTTCTCTCTATCCTCTCCCGGCGCACGAGTGTTCACGCGCGTGAACAGTTCATAGATCACCTCGGAATCACGTGCACGCGACGGAGACGAGCTCCCTTGTCCCACGAGGGAACCGTTTCGTATTCTTGGCAGAGGCTTCTTAACATTCGAAGCTAGACCCCGTTGAAAATGTATTGTTTTATTAAATAAAGCGTTTACGTATCAGACTGCCGGATCGAATACTGTTTCTCTCATCGCAGAATTCTCGATTATTCACTTACTAATTTTTACTTTAACAGATTAGAACGAATGTAGAATTCTGATTCGCGAGAAATGTTTCTAAAGTTGAACGCGATAGTTGAAATACAATAAACAGCGACGAATATGGACGAGGAAATGAATGAAAATGGAGCAAAACGAACCCTTGGGAAAGTGCGACGGTTCCGACCCGCGGGGATGAAGGGGCTCGATTAAAAATCGGTCGGACGGGATCGTCGCTCGGCCGGAAGTATAAAACGCGACTCTCGGCTGTCGACTTCCGAGCAAATAATTCAGCGAACGTCCGCCCGGACGTAATTAGCGAGCAGTTTATCGAGCCTTGATTCGACCCGAATCCACGTTACATTTTCAAGCACTTAAGGACTTTCGTGTTCGAAATTTCCGTACAACTTTGTTCGGCATAAATCGATATCGTAAATAGCAAATTAATCAGAAAACGTGACGTAATTGTTTACGGGAACAGAACGTGTATGAAGTTCTATTGTATTGTGACAATCATTTTCAGTGGATTGATAATAAGATCTAGAAGTGTCGTGAATCCTTACCACTGAGTAGGAATAATCCGCAGGCAACCAGAGTTCTATGATCCGAATAGCAATGTCCAATTAAAGCTGAAATTGTGGCAGCCAGTACCAGAGCCACGGCAACCACTTGGAACGGTGCTGAAATTCTGAAATGAATTTGTAACTCTTGTTAATCAATTACATTTAATTTATACAACTGCTGCAAACGTGTGAATGAAATTAGATTTATTAGCTTCGATAGTGGAAGCAGATGCACGTAATTCTTCTCTTTTTAAAAGTTTTTTTCAGTCAAATGAAACATCTATAAATATGCACAGAATTATTATATCAAATATACTGTAATTTTTATTCTCGCGCTGTCTTTAAACTCAATTTTTGTTTCCCAATATTTTATCGAAATTACTGCAACCCAGTGTTTGGTTCCGAGATCAACGCAATTTATCATTTTCCGCAAACAGACACTTTAATTTCTCGTGATAAACGAAAAATGTGATGGCAAAAAGCTGTTTCCACCTACAATTTCACACGTAAAATTAACGAATGAGCTTGTTGGGAATTTTCACTCCAATTGTAAACTTGAGACAATTCAACGTGAAACATACATGTCAGGTGAGGGCAATTTATTTATTAGAGTCATTATAACAATTACGAAACTCTCTCATTTATTTAGAAAATATAAAATGTAATAATTCTTGGTTAACTTATTCTCGGTCTAAATTTGTAAAACGTCTCGTAGTTTAATTATTGATCATTCGGTTGAAACGATTCATTGATGCCGAGGCTTAACGCGAACATATGGTGCAACCATGATCGCTCGTCCAGGCCAGACGCACGTCATTGGGGATGAAAATGGATGTTACGTTTCTCTGCCACGAGACTCCGTAACTTCCCGAGGACGAAGGAGGTTAATCAAGATTTGCGGTGATGCCGGAATGCTCGTGACACGGCGCCACGAATATATCCCCTAAATTTTGATCGATTCCCTTCGCCAATTTCTTTTGAATTCCACCCCCGTCGCCCTGCCGGAAAAACCGGCCGAATTTATCGCTTTTTTATGAGGTACGATGACAGGCATGGCCTCGATCGACGTCTTAGGTCTCTGGAAAAATTTGATGACCTCCGTTGGTATAAAAATATCTTTTTCATCGAGAGTAGACATCGTTTAATACTCGTAAGACTTTTCATGTCGAAAATTGTGTCCAATCGTCTTCAGTCATCGAATCTCGTTTCAATTCTTGAAACGCGATCCTATTAAACGAGGGACGCCCGAGTCGGCGTTAAAGACTGAAATCGCATTTGCATTATTAAGCGATCAATTCGACGCCGCTCGAATCTGTACGCCGTGCACCCGACGCGACGCTTTTTTCCCCTCGCTCTGCCAATACCATCAGCCGTTGACTGTTTATGGAGAGCTGGGAAAAACGGAATGGCACGGCGATAAACTCCTTTTTTCACCGCCGAGAGAGTTTAAACTCTTAATTGGCTCCCGGCCTTCAAATTTCTCGCACATTGCACGGTTTAGTTTCGCTCGATTTCATAAGGCGACTCAATGATCCAGAAACTCTTATTACGTCTGTGGGCACCTGTTCCTTCCTTTCCATTCCGATAAAAGCAGGCAAGTTTACGAAAAACGAATTTTCATGAACTCAATTCGTGCCACATTGTGACCTCACACAGTCGAGCCTTCTTCTAAAAAAAAAAAACGAACTTTGTTCAGCGTTCGTTGAAACTCGACTCGGTCAAACATCGCCGAGCGGCAACTTCTCTAATCTCAACCACTGGGGTGAAAAAGCTCGCAAACAGAGTTTCTCACCTCGAAACCATTTCATCGATCGTCAAATAAAAGATCGCTGATATAAAAGAGATCAACGATCGTGCAGCTAATCGGACGACGATTAACTCAGGAACTGACAATATTTTAACTTGCCCGATCACCGATATCATCGCCCGTCGAATATGAAAGCGTCGGGGAAAGTTTTACGACTAGAGGCGGCACAAAAAATGTCTGTGAAACTTTCTGTGAAACGTCGGATCGTTACGCCGCGCGGGGAGCTTGTCGTTTCAAGTAAAATGGCTGCTGGGATGGGACGGGATGGAGGAATTTCGATACCCCGGCTGTAATACACGTATTCGTAGCTATCGGGGTAAATGGAGCATGCTGGGTAACGACGCGTCTCGCTCAGAGGGGTATTCGCCCCCAATCAACCCCCGTAGACTCCCTCTAGAGTTTTGAGCACGCGATCGTTTCACGCGAACCGCATACATCACGATCCCGTGACGCCGACAAATATTTTTTAGCAACTGCGTTTCAACTGACTGTGCCTCCTTGATTGGGCACATAGAAACATACTATTTTCTACTTTTAAATATTTACAGCACTTCTACCGTTCGAATTTCTACCGATAACAAACGCAGTGCATCAATTGAATTCTTATGAGATTATAATCGACGAGCAAAAACTTAATTGGTGATTACGTCGACGATATTAATATCCGTTTAATCGCGTGATATCATGATTACGCTTTAATCAAGCCCGGGTCTCATAAACGTCGTTTATAACACTACTCCATTCATCGTCATTTGCAATAGCTCCGCGCCTCGATGCATAATGACACTGATGACACAATCGTATCCCGTGTCGCATCTCGTTAATGCTCGCTGCTGTTAAAAAGCTTATTCCTCTTAACGATTCCCTGTAATAATTAACGAATCGTCCATCGAATCCTATTACGCGTGATCCCTTTTATGCGATCTATCGTTGATCGAAGAACGAGCATCGTATTGAGAATACGAATCAAATGATAAAATAATTAAACAAGTTAATTATCAGTAGTCAATTTTTATGCTAAATAAGTCTTTTATAGTAGTCGGTTAGAAAACTGCAATGCATTAAATTATTTTATAGATGGATAAAATCTGGAGAGTAATCACCACATACAAATGACGATGGGAAATAATGAAGGCTTGATTGAAAATGAAAATGAACTAGTCAAGATCTAAAATGAGCAATCACGGGAAGACAGAAGCGTGGGAATTAATTGAACTGCGTCTGAGATCGGAAAGAGGAATAATATCCACGTTGAGGAAATTAATAAACTGTCTGCCCTCTCCCAGGAAGTTTCCTATCGAGTTTATTTCCCATTTCCCCGTTGTTGTTCCCTGGTACGGTGTTGACCAACAACAAGAAACACGGTACAAAATTCATTAAAACTTGAGGATCGTTGCCGCGGGTCGGAGCCTCGCAAAATTGCGTCTGCTCGCGTATCATCATACCGATTTCGTTTGTCGTCGGCCGTGCCCAAACGCAAACGCGTTCAATTAATTATTACCTCGGTTCGGTTTTAACATTGCCACGTATCTCAACCGCGATACGTGTCCATTAAACGCGGGGCAGGACACGGGGAAATGAGAAAGGGTGAGAGAGAGAGAGAGAGAGAGGACAGGGAGGTAGCGTACACAGTTTTAACGAACAACGTTACCCGGTTGCCTTTTAATTAACAACGCGTGAAATGGCCCCGTCTCGCGGTTATTACATCCGAGTTTTTAGCCCGGCTGCAAAGTCCGTTACTTATTCCGATTGAAATGCTTCTCGCAGGCCTCGCGGTGTTACAGTTGATTTACGCGATGAACTACGTCCACACTCGCCTGGTCTCTTAATTATACTTCATATCTTCGTCATTAAAATTCTATTTAAGAGAATGATGTTCTGCGTCCACAAATTTAATGGTCGACCGCCGAAAGGAATACGGAGGCGGACAAATACCTTTTGTTGCCGCTGCGCTTTGCATAACGAGCCGGGTAATTGTCCGTTTGCAAGCGAAACAAATTCAAGTCCGTCCAAACAGCGATTCGATCGCGTTCAATCGGGGCTGCGGGAACAACGGCGGATCAAAGTTAGCCAAGGAGCGGAGGATCAACAATTCGGTCAGTGTCCGATGTCCGGGCTGGGTCTCGTTAATAACAAGGCCGTTGTCACAGTAAATAACAATAAAACTCTATTAATGCGGTGGTACGAGCAGTTACCGGAGGGCTGGCAGTCGGCCAGAAACATACCGGGACGGCTATTCACCCCGCGGTGAACCCTGCTCTCTCTCCTGGTCCAGCTGCTGTTGTTGAAACCGTCTCTCTCCTTCCTTGATACCTTTCTCGCTCTCGGACATACCTCACCCGTGACCGTATGTATGTAATGCAGCGCGGGTTATGCAGTATTACACGCCGGGATAGTCCCACCCTCGTCCACCCCTTGGGAATCGAGCGGTCGCAAGGCGCTCCTGAATTTGTGCAAATCGATTCCGTCGGCTTCTGCTTTTCCGGGTCCTAATGCTCCGAGCCGAACGCCGCGCCTTTCCTCGTCGCGCTGCCTCGACTATAATGCCTCCACTCGTTTCTTATAACGAAATCGACGTTTATTTATAAGGCGCACTCGCTGTTTGAACCGAGCGCGGAAATTGATTTCGCAGCTAAAGCAATCTACATCTCTCTCTCTCCTCTGGCACAAACGGAATTCTTAAACGAACAGCCGGCTAAGAGCCCCGGCAGCTAATGCGCTTGATTTTGCATCTTGGCTTCTTTGAGCTCAAAGTCAAGTTTCAGTCGTACACGGCTGATCGCACGACGGGCCGATACGCCAAAAGCATTAGTGGCGCGTCATGGTCAAACGAGATCGTCGTTTAATTCGAAATCGCAGGCCATGATACTAATACATATGTATACATAGACCTGTGCAAGGAGTGAATCTGTTCCTTCGGGATACAATTATTTATGCACGTTAGCATTAATAGGGGATGTACAAAACGAAAGAAAAAACGCTGCTTTATGATTTCATACATGAAAACATGATAGGTTAAATAATCGTTAATAAATTATATAAATTAATATGTGAAACGTAATACAGAAATTAACGGAGGATTTACAGAGCGAAGGGAAATGTACTTACATGATTTTTCATGAACGTGGACACATGATGAATTCAACAGTCATTAATAAATGATGTTTGAATTGATAAAATGATGAGTAGTGCACACATAGATATTATTTCAAGTATTATTTATTATTTCGTAATCAAGCCGTATTTATAATTCCGCGGATGTCGATTTATCCGATTAAGAGACGGAGTGTCCGTATCGCATGGTTAATTGATGTATTT